TTTTTTATAATGCTCTATGAGGCATTGCAGATTAGATTGCGGGAGGTTTCTTTTGTGAAGTATAGCTTCATTCTTTTGAGTCAGACTGCTCTGATTACGTAACACCGGGTAGTTAGGCTTGTATAGCATTCTTTTGTGATACATTCGTGATATATCAGTTGATGATGTTTTGTAACATGAATGATTGATGAACAACTGGATAACATGTATTTATGTTATCAAATGTTTTGAGGTAATTCAAATGTTTTATTATTCTGCTTTAATTTTAAATATTGAGGTGTGGGTTAAGGGCTAAGTCCCTCTATTTTTAAAACTATCCCACTGTTGCATATTTATTTTTATATAAGTGCGGGTGTTGAGTGTTTTAATTGATGATGATGTGACATACTTCATTTATACCATATATTATATCATACTCTGATGAATTTTGAAATGTGCATAAATGTTTATTTGTTTTATTTAGGGGTATAGAAGGGGGTGTTACAGAGGGGCTGAACAATTACTTCCTTTTGTAGAAGCACGATGTATAACACTTATACTTGGAGTTTTATCATCATCATCATCACCATCAACATAACAATGATCTTCATTTGTATGTTGTTCGAGGTTTTCATTCAATCTCTACACCATAATATTCAATTAGAACATAAATTAAAAATAAGCACAATATATATCATGTAAATCACTAACATCTCAAGTAAAGCATATACCGAATATAACTCTTGAAAGCTTTCCATATCTTTCTCCCTTTTTTTCCCTCTCATCTTCTAACACCCTCTTTTGTTCTTCTAATTGCTTCTCAACATTCTCAACCTTTTGTCTTTATGCATTAAATTCCTGACTTTCGATACTTTTTCTTTGAGACCCAAAGAATGACCTCAAGCTGACACCTTTTCCAACACCACGGACATGCCCACCATGCTCATTTGTTCTGATAGCTTCTACTAATATGTCATGTCGTGCTTCTGGGACAAATATGCCTTCACGGGCCGCCTCAACCAACTTATCTTACACAACATGAGTAACTTACATATATTGTTACCAATGCATTTAAATAATAAATAACATAAGTAAAACAAATCATACTTATAATTTTCTCAGCAACTACTCTTGACGCCTCAGAGGTGTACTCTCCACTTTGTCTTAATCGAGCAATCTTCCATTTCTCATGTCTTGACGGTGGAGATGGGATGTGATCATCTCCTGTTTCTTTATGTTTTTTAAGAATGATTCTTTTCTCAAGTTTCATGTAACCCCCATAAGACAATCTATGAGGGTACATGTTATTTGCCTTGTTTTGTATTCCTACTTTGCTTTTAACTTGTTATTAACACAGTGAAAAATATATATGATTAGTATCTATAAATCATTAGCATAACATTATCGGTTACATAAGACTGATATTAACCTTGAAATCCTCATAACGACGTATCTTCGCAAACTTGTTCCATTGGTTCTTCGATATAAAACTATATCGAATCCATGGACGAGCAAGACCGCTCTTAGGCTTCCTAATGTAGTCAGCCGTGAGCTGTGACTTAAATCCCCTCCAACAAGTACCGACATAAGATATCCATTTTTTTTCAACTTTGAGTCATTAGTAAACTCAAAATTCAACTATATTTAAACCAATATATAAGTGTGTATTAGAAATTTTAGGTAGTGATATCGAATATATGAAAATCATAACATGTAATACCTTAACGTCTTTCTTTGACTTGATCATCCACGTGTTTTCAATCGCCTATCAGTATATAAACTTTGCTACATGCAAGGAACACAACATAACTCTTAAAAGTAGAGTAATGTTCACAATACACTACTTTGTAGAACGAATCAAACTCGATCGGAATATTTTGACCTGATGAGCTGCGACTGATGTGAATTGGGGCATCATTGTGACACCTCTTTGTGATCTTTTCGATTGAGTATCATTTGTTTGAGTTTCATTCGTACAACCCTCATTTGTTTGAGTTTCTTCGCTAGTATCTGATGTAGAACTCGACATGGTCGATATCTATATTCAAAAACAGCAATAACAGCATGAAGAACAAGAACATAAACAACAACACAACATAAACAACAACAACCACAACAATGGCAAATGAAGTTTACTGTAGATGTATGGGGAAAATATTTTATGTACCCTAAACGTGATGACTAAGTAAATGATGCTGGTGTTGGTGTTATCTTTCTTCCTTACAACAACAATGATGTTGTTGTTGTCTTCCTTCTCGACGGTGACAACTTGGTTGAAATCGTGATTGTGATGGTCTTGTCAACTTAACAATGATGACAAAAATGAAAAATACACAGTGAAGAATGGATACTGAAGAGACAAGCTAGGGTGAACGATGGTGTTTTGGTAGAAATCATGTATTGTTTCACAGTAATGAACGTTAGGGTTTAGGGTTGAAATCGTGTATTGTTTCTATTTTCAATGGAAACAAGGATAATGAAGAGACAAGCTAACTAGGAGTGTATAATATTATGATGCTACCACCACGGCCAATACCAGAAACCGTTATGATATATTACTTTCATAGTGAAATTTCATAAAGAAGCGCCAGAGTTTAATTTAAAATTAAAAATTTTAAATGAAAAACAAAATATATCACAACAGTGGAACTCATCAACCGTAGTCATAACCCTTTAAATTTTTTATTTAAAAATAAATAAAAAAAGAAAAGGCGTGCATTAACATTAAGTGAATAATTTATATGATGGCGCTGAGGTTCGAACCCATGAAAGTTTGATGGTATCACCACGGTTGGCTCCTCAACCGTTGTTATATACAAATAATTTTTAATCAAAAACAAAAATAATATGATAGCGCCTTAATTTAGAGATGTCACCACGGTGTAGGGAAGAACCATGGTGACCATAGCGTTGTTGTTTACACGTTTTGTAGTAGTGAATATATGAGATTTTTAATGCTCATAATTGGTTATGCACATCACATAACCGATTATGCAGTTCAAATAGGGAAGGTTTTTAAATGGATTCGTCACTAATTGACTATAAGCCCTAATACTCGATTGTGAGGCATTATAAAAGAGATAATTGAGTAAACCTAATATGTTAGTCTATTATCTAGTGTAAACTACACTCATAAAGGATTATTTGACCTAATGACCGACTACCTACTAGCATAAAACACTATTTTTTTTGGTAATTTTATAAAAGCATAGAGACTTTCCGATCATTCAAAAGTGTGTGTGTGTGTATGTGTGTGTGTGTGTGTGTGTGTGTGTATTTGTGTGCGCATGCGCGTGATTTGACTCAGTAATTCAAGAGTTAATCTTTATACCTTTACAGATATAAATCATTCAACATAGACATAACAAACTTTCATACTTTCACTCTTTCAAAACTCTGAAGATTTAAGATCCCTTGGTTGATATAACACATCATCTGAGACTTGACATCACTTCTATTTGTTGAGGTTTGATAAGGTTTCTTGATAGATGTCATCATTAGAGAGATTGCTTGACTGAGATCCTCAAGTATTTCACCAAACATTGCTTGACATTAAGTGCTGTCCTTGATAGATAGACTTTGACATAGTGTTCTCCAGGAACCATAACTTGATCACCATTTCCAATGAATACTTCACATCATAGTGTTGTCATCATCAAAACAAAAAGGACATGATCATCATTTCAGATGAAGGCCTCACATCACAGTGTTGATACCATGAAAACAAAATAGGTCATCTAATTGTTTTACTCATTATACCTACAAACACGTATATCCACAAATCATTCTAAGATATATCATGATAAAAGAGATAAATATAAAGCAAAATAATATTACAAGTAAAAGGGATAAATCTCTTGATAAAAGAGATAAATTCAATTCTTGCATTTGAACAAATCTTTCTATTTATAAAGATTTTTTTGGATCTCACACAAACACGCCACAATTCCCCATGTGCATGGCGAGGCAATTACATAGGCAATTACATTCACGTGTCAACGACAATTTAAGCATAATACGCCACCCTCCCTATAGGGCGCGGTATGTTTTTTCTAATAAGTTATAGAAAATTCCAATTTCATGGAATTTCTCCAATTTGCTCATTTTTCTTATTTTCTTTAAATTCTTGTGTCCAAGTCCTCTCCGTTACTATCCCTAAAACTTTTATATTGAAAACACTATAAAATTTATCGGGTTGGAATAATTTCATTACGAATAGATCTTTTTCACAATTCTTTGAAAATTTATTAAAATTTTACAAAATTATAAATGATTATCATAAGTTAAAGCTCTTAAAACTAAAGTAAAATATATTAAAAAATGGTATGATCGACTATCATCAACTAGGGATAAACTCATGAAGACTACATATTTCATTATGGTTATTATCGTTCGCATATGAATGATTAGAATGATTAATCTGTGTGAAGCAACTAATATTTAGAGAAACTTGTAAAATAGAATGTGTTTAGAGCAAAATAGAAATTGAAATGCAATTATTTCGCTCACCTTACCAGATTTATTTAATCAATTTGATGCAAATTTTACGTTGACTTATATTATATTTTCCTTTATAGTCTAATGATGACTATAAAATTAATAATTCTAGTTCCACTCAATCCTTTACTTGTTCATTTCAAAGAATTGAACAAGTCATTTTCCTATTCCGGCAAATTAATTAATTATGGTCATGTTGCGGCAAATGTGCCATAGTATAAGAGATCATGCAAAGAACTATCCAAAACAAACACATATTTTACAAAATAGATATCTCTCTCTTACTCAAGCAACAGACCAATTCATATATGCCAAAATTTACACACAAAAAAGTCTTTTGCAAATACACATCAACCTATAGGACATAATATACACACTAACAGAGAAATTCAAACATTTTCTAAGTAAAACCAGCTCAAAAATATAATAAGTTGAAACACCAACACTTGTTCAACACATACACTGACCTATATATAAACCGATGTTTTTGTCTCGTGTTCGATGTCTGTGCCTGTGTGATAGTATTATCTGCCACTTAATTGAGTGAATGGATTGAGAGTTCCACTGATAAAAGAACTATCTTCACCTTCTTTGAACGATGAAGGCGGCATAGCGGGCCAAACAAAAGAAGGTCTTTCCATTGGAACAATTGGAGGAGAAGCTTCTCCATTTAGAACCATCAAAACAGCTTGTATTGATGGCCTTTCATTTGGGTTTGGATGACAACAAGCCAACCCAAGGATAAGCACAATTTCAACTTCTTCCTCCAATTTCACCATCTCAATCTCGTCCTTTTCACAACCACTTATCCTTTTATCAACAACACTAACAATTCTACCCTTTCCATATTGCTCCCAAACCCAATACACAATACTATTTTTATAATCATCTTCTGCATACATATTTCCTGGTCTTTTTCCACACACAACTTCCAAAACAAGAACACCAAATGCATACACATCCGTTTCCACTGTCGCTCTACCCGTTAAAAAAGTCTCCGGTGCCATATATCCCGGGGTTCCTGCAATTTCCTTTGTTGAATGATGAGTTTCATTTCTCTTTTGTATTGTCCGTGCCAATCCAAAGTCACCCAATTTCGCATTATAATCTAAGTCCAACATAATGTTGCTTGCTTTAATGTCTCTATGAAGTACTCTTTTCTCACAATTATTATGAAGATAATCCAATGCTTGCGCCACACCGCGGATCACACTATTTCTTGTATTCCAATCAAGTAATTTTGAATAACGCGATTCAAATTCATCATTGGATTGGTTGAATAGGTATTTGTCTAAGCTTCCATTTGGCATGAACTCATAAACAATAAGAAGCTCTTTTTTCTCATAGCACCAACCAATGAGTTTCACTAAGTTTTTGTGGTGAAGGCTTCCAATTGTTGTTACTTCTGCTATAAATTCTTGCTTTCCTTGACGCGAATTCTTCGAGACTCTCTTCACTGCTATCTCTTTGTTGTTTCCAAGGACGCCCTTATATACAGTTCCAAATCCACCTTGGCCAAGCTTGTTCTGATGGCTGAATGCACCTGTTGCTTTTATTAGTTCCTTTAATTCATATTTCTTTGGAGCCATAGATGAGTGTTGAATTTGATCCTCTATTCTTGGATATGCATCTTCTGAAATCTCCGTGTTTTTATTTCTTCGGAAATAAACAAGGAAAAAGACTAAACCGCAGACGATTATCACAACCGGAACTACGATACAAATCAACACGAGAAATTTTTTATCATCACCAATATCTAAACCATTGAATTCCCACGCTTTCACACAATTTAGCTGCGTGTAATTGCTCGTTGAAGCAGAAAAACCGACGTAAACCTCTTGATTAAGATAGGAAGATAGATTAAGAGGCGGAGAAACCAAAAGTGTCTCCATAGAATCTAATGAATTTTCACTCATAGAACCAAAAACAGATATTATATCATTTGAATATTGAATTCTCAGTGTTACATTTATACCAGATGAAAGATTGACCTTAGTGTTCGATAGCGATGCTTCTTTCAACGACGAGATGCTATTTATGTTGATTCCAACATGGTTGTGAGGACTGTCTTGTGTTGAACTTTGTCGTGTATCGAACACTACTGCGAGAATTCCGGGTCGAGAAGTTCCGTTTGTAGAAGCATTTACAATACCAAACCATTCTCCTTGACTGTTTTCAGGGAGAGCTGTATCTGCTGTTAAGATAAAGGCTATACCTTCTCCGCCGGGGGAAGTTTGAGGACTTATGTTGAGAACAAAAGTGGTGTTGAAAGAAGCTATTTTGTTGTTTTTCTTATTCCAAAGTGTGTACGGCTTATTGTAAAAAGCACGTCCAGAATAATTCTTTATTTCACCACGGATATCTGGGGTTATTTGGATGGCATCTAAGTATATTTTTGAGTTTTTGCTTAGTATCAATTTGGATTCATCACTTGGTTGGAAAGTTGGGAAATTGAAATATAAGCAACTAACTTTGGTTAAGGGTATGAATATGATAGTGAAAATGAATGTGAATAACTGATATTTGAGTAGCAAAGACATGAAGTTCATGGTGATTATTCACAAACAAGAGAATAATTGAAGACTATTATTCTGGTTTCAATAAGATATATATCATAAACAAGTGATGAAATGGAATGATTTATATATTTGTTTAAAATGTTTGAATTCCATGTATTTTTCATCATCCTGATTATTTCTTGGAAATTTCCTATGTCATTAAATTAATGTTAATTTTATTTGGACTATATTTGGATGTACATGTGTTAAGGTTTTCATATAAATGTCAACCATGACGCTTTCTAATTTTTTCTACAAACATCAATTTATTTAATGTAAGTTAATGAGGCATATGATGATGATATGGTGCATGATGATATAATAGTGGTGTCCTCAATTTGCTCTCCTTTAGTCTTCGATTTTGATCCTCTCCATTTTTATATATCATGTCATCTGTCATGTTTCTAATCTAACGGTTCAGAATTTATAATAAAAAATTTTAAAAATAACAAAGACAAATTACTTATCCATTTCTCTCTCCTATTAAATAACTTTTTTTATTTAATTATTTATTATAAGTTCTGAACCTTTAAATTAGAAGCATAAAAGATGACATGATATATAAAAAATGAGGGGATCCAATTCCTTTAGTCTCATATGCTAATAAGATTAAAAATGATAACTTAGTCAATAAAAAACCAATAAATCCTTCCATTATTTTCCATCAATTTTCATTACAAGCCTTTAATCTGTCATATCCTAATTCAATTTTTAACTGCAGAGTTTCAACGGTATGTAAAGTAAAAAGAATGAATTTATTCATTCAAAATAAATTCATTTGATTTTTTAATTTTCCATTAAAAATTATTTAAGAGATTAAATAAAATTTTGATTTTGTATAAATACTAGTCAAAATAATACTTTAAAAATGATTAATGGATGAGATTCAAAAGAAATAAAATATAATTTATTTATCAAAAACTATTTTAAATTATAATAATAATAATTTTTAAAATTACTAATAATAACAACAATTCCCAACACATCAATAATTTAAGAAAAATTATAAAACATATGGGTTAACATTATAGATAGAATGCATCGATCTAACATGATAAACTATATGAACCAATCACAAAATGATAAAATCTAACATACCTTAGCATTAATGTAGTAAGTTATATGAACCAAAGACACTTAGTATATGCAAGAGGTCTACCACTCGCATCACACCCCAAAATTCATGTTGTTGAGTCTGTGGACGCTATTAGCCTCTGATGAGTGCACTAGAAATTTCGCGAAGATCTCATACAAGGGCCTCACTTGACATTCATGTAGGTTATTATATCAAATGCATGCTATAAATTATACACCGCCCACAATGGAAATGAAACTCATTAAATTCTACCAAATCTTGTTCTCTCTTTAATGCAGTTTCTAACACTTTCTCATTCACGCCATAAGAAAGAGTCAGAAGAAAAAATTATTAATTAGTTTTTGGTGCTAGTAGAACTAACAAGTAACTTATCATTGTCCATATCAACCTTCTTCACGGGATCTCCAATCTAAAAGGTTGAGTTCCTATCACTTGCTAATTTCGATTAGCTTAAGTCTCACTCCCCTCGATGTGTCACAAATTATTTTACTCCTCTGGAATTTTGTTAGAGGGTCAGCTACATTGAATTTTGAGTTCACATAATCGATCAATATTGTTCCATATTTTAGCAGTTTCTTTACTACATTATGTCTCAATTTGAATATGTCTATTTTTACCATTGAATGAATTATTCTTTGTCATGGCTAGTGATTGACAACTAAAATGCAATGACATTGATGAAGTTGGTTTTATTCCTAAAGGAATACTAGCTAAGAGTTTTCTTAGCCACTCAGCTTCATTACCAGCCAATTCCAGTTCTATGAACTCAGATTCTATATTTGATATAACTATAATGGGTTGTTTGACTGATCTTCATAACCACCAGTAGATTTTGTCTCATTTGAGTCGGATATCCAATTAGTATCACAATATCCTTCTAATGCAGCTGGAAATTCACTATACTTAATGCCATAATTCATGGTACCTTTCAAATATTTGAGAACTCTAGAAAGAGCCTCTCAGTGATCCTGATTAGGGTTATGTATATATCTACTTGATCTACCTGCTACATATAAAATACCAGGTCGAGAAAAATTCATTAAATGGAATATGCTCTCAATAATTTAAGCATGTTGAGTTTAACCTATAGGATCACCTTTATTCTTTTTTAATTGAGAATTAACATGATAAAGGGGTACTCACCGATTTGAATCCTAATGACCAAAATTTTTATAAATTTCTCAATATAATGTTCTTGAGATAGTATAATACTATCATCCTTACTTATGATTTTAAATCCCAATATTACACTTGATTCACCCATATCTTTCATTTCAAATTGTGAAGCAATAATTTTTTAGTTCTAATTACAATATCAATACAAGTACCAAAAGATGAGTATGTCATCGACAAATAAATATATGTGCACATTCATTATTCACATATTTAGTGTACACATGCACATTTATCAACTTTAATTAATGAAAATTCATCACTAATCAAAGCTTGATTAAACTTTTCATGGCATTATTTTGGTGTTTGCTTTAAATCATATAATGATTTAAGAAGTTTACAAACTTTGTTTTCTTGACCAGAAAATACACATCCTTTGGGTTGTGACATATAAATTTCTTCTTCTAATTTTCCATTTAAAAATGTTGTTTTTACATGTATATGATGAATAGATGAAACGTGATGAAAACATGAATCAATGAAGCTGGGTGAGAATGGAATAATTACTAGAAGTAAAGTAATTCTAGTGGGAACAGGGTTTAGTAAAGTTAAAGGAAATATATTTTGTGGAGACTAATGCTCTTGTAACTTGTCTCAAAGCTATTAGCCTCCTTTTGGCATTTGTATGCTGCTTAGACTTTAAATTATATCTAATAAATGTTAAATAAGCTTTTCGTAACGTCTATAGAAATGAAGAAGTCTATGCCTCTCAACCTCTTGGATTTGAAGACCACAAAAATCTAGACTATGTTTTTAAACTCAAAAGAACTTTCTAAGGTCTCAAACAAGCTTCTAGAGCTTGGTATGAGAGACTTAGCAGATTTTTTTTATCAAACAAGGATTCAATCATGGTAAAGTAGATACTATTTTGTTAATTAGACGTAAAGCAAAGAATATTTTCTTAAGTTCAAATTTACGTGAATGATATTATATTTAGTTCTGTTGATGAATCTCTTTGTAAGGATTTTTGCTAATTTGATGCATGGCGAATTAGAAATATCTCTAATGGAAGAGCTTAACTAACTACTTCCTTGGATTGTAAATCAAGCAAGCGGAAGATGAAACTTTGTTAGAAAGTATTTTGCGGTAGTGTTTTATCGTATCCACAGGGATTGATGAGAATATAGATGCTTGCCGTTCAACGGTTTAATGATTTAATAAGAGGGTTTTTAAAATGGTTTCTATTTTCGTAGCAAGAGTTTGCAAGAATTAAAATAGAATAAAATTTGTTCTAAGTTTGATAAAGACATGTCAAGATTTGGGTTCGATAATCCGTCCTAAACGTATCTAACCGATCAAATATGTGAACGTAGTTTTAACCAACATAACCGCGTATCCTCGCAAAAATGTTCATTTCTAAAGCGATTTCGTGAATGTTCTTGTTTAGACCGTTAAATGATCTCTTTAAATGACACTCGAAACAATAATCATTAAGATCAATACAAAGGGGATATCAACTTTCAAACCTATGTCTAGAATTTGTATAGTTGGTAGATGAAGAAATTAGGTCAAGACTTGGAAAGTTCATGTCTAAAGCAATCTAAACTATAAATGTACCAAGGATAGCAAATAACTTCATCTATATTGATCACAACATTGTTCAAATATAAAAGATCAAGAAGAATACATAAAATCTGAACTAAGGTTGATCAACAAGTTTCAGAATAAGGTTGATCAACATCCGAGTCGAATCATCGAGATTGGATGGGAATCCACCTTCTTTTTGTGAAATATTGCTAAGAGATGATGAGAAATAGAGAGACAAGCTTTTTAGATCTAAAAATCCTCTCAAAAGAAAGTACAAAGTAAAAGATATTTTCTCAAAAAGTAGCCCAAACTACTTATAGAAGGGCTGCTGAGCTGTCATGTTCGCAGTGCAAACAAAGTGTTCGCCTAGTGAACAGTCAAATTGGCACCTGAAGTGCCTATGTCCTGTGAAAACTCCCTAGACAGATTTCCACATGTTCGCTGTGCGAAGAATTCTTCGCAGTGCGAAGGCTTTGCTGTAAACATCGCACATTGAATTCTTGTCCAAATACCTACTGCCTCAAGTCTGGGAGTCTTCGCTAGACCTTCGCTACCTCTTCGCTCCAGCGAGTTGTTCGCTGCCTCTTTCGCATAGCGAACTTATGGCCCTTTTCTTTCTGGATGAACAATACATTGGGTTTCCTGGCCTTCGCTGCAAACTTCGATGTGCGAACTTTGTGAAGTTTTCTGGCAAGCTTCATTGCAAACTTGTTGTTGTTTGCATGCTGACTTGGTTTCTTTGTTATCTTTCTTATGTCTTACTCTTCAATTTTTCATGCCTAATTCCTTCACAATAACACACAAATCAAAGGAACCAAGATATTTTCACATAATGGTGCAAATCAACCAAAGCAAGAGTGATTCTCACACAAAATCTACAAAAAGGAGTGAAAGATACCCACATTTGATAGTTCAAATAAGCAAAGTTGGGCATCTAACAAACTTTCATAAGAAAAATGAAGTACTGGTTGGAGCTTCTAAAGAAGTTTGATATGCAAAATTCAAAGAGCATCTCAACCCCATGGCTTCAAACGTGCTGATAGAAAAGTATCATAATGGCGTAGAGACCGACATAACAAAGTATAGAGGTATTATAGGATATTTAGTCTTTTTAACCCTGAGTAGGCCGGATATTGTGTTTAGTGTGTGTCTGTGTGCTAAATTTTAGGCAAATCCTAGGGAATTCCACTTTAAG